ATAGCCCACTTAGTCTCCTAAGGATGATAAATCCCTCTCATTCTGTCTCTCCTCCCCAGTGGACATGGTAGATTTGTCTTTTTGCCTGCACAGATGAAGCTTTGCTAGTTAGAATACTAGCAATACACAAAAAAGAATTTTGTGCTTGTACCTGTCAAAGACAGAATGAAGACATTATTTCCACGAAACAATTAAAAAACCCACTAACCTCACATTTCTGCCTCAAGTCCCAAATGAAGCCCCCCTTCTCACAAAAGGCTTATGCTGGCATAGAATTCTGAAAACTGAGGCCAAAAACTTGACACAGCACCTTGGTACAGCCCAGCAGCTGAAGATTAGAGATAGGACTCCAGCAGTGATGCAGGAAGAATATAACAGCCCTGTTATCTAGCTTGCCCTTGCATATTAATAAAATGGGAAGAGCCTACTCACCTAACAACAAACAGGAAGAAAATGCAAGGCAGAACTTCTTGTCATCTTGAACAGCCACCACTGTTGCTATCTAGATAGTTCTAATAGTTCCTGTTGCATTGGTCTGTTGAGATACCTTTTAGAAATACTAGTTTCCTAGCTGACAAGTCACTAAAAATCAAGTCAATAACCCCCAACAGATCACAGCACAAAGATATTACATGTGCTAGAATAACCTTTTTCAATTTTTGGTCTTCAGAAACAGAAACCAGGTCCCAACATATTGCCTGAGCTACACCTTAAATTGCAAGGTAGAGTCTCAAGTGAGTTTAATTGTAACACCATAACTCTAGGAGCATTTCCATGACTAGGTTCCACTCATCTATTGCAACAAATCCCCCTTGCTTAGCAATGAGGAGTGTGGTCAGGTCCTATGTAAGAATATCTTTAAATTATTACAGCTGTTATCTAAAGTCATACTAATTCACCAGGGCCAACCTTCCCTCCAAGGCAATATTTGACAAATAGCACAGCATGACTGCTGGAATGGCTCTGTGTTTTGGGAGACACCATCTTTTGAATGAGATATGTAAGCGGAATATCTTTTTGACTACATAAGCAAAAACGATGACCTGAAACTGTCAGGAGTAAGTGTCAGCCTACTCACAAAACGCTCTTCAGTACAAATAATTATATATAATAATTGGCAACTGAGTTTCTCTAACATTTTTAAAGCATTTTTACAACTCTGATATAGCACAAGAGACATTGGACTTCTCTAGAACTCTCAAATAATAAGCAGTCTTAAGCAAAATAAGACCTACAGCAATACGATACAACTAGGAAATGCTTGGTCAGAATTTGAGCATAATCGTTAATGTTATATCAACAGACTTTGTGTGAGCAAGATTTTTCTTTTTTCCTGAAGCTGATAAATTTCTTTTGCATTTAGTACATGGGTACTGACTTTCAAGCTGCGCATGGAGCCCTCTTCTGGAGAATTTGAAAAAATAAAAGCTTAAGAATGCAGCAGCATGGGCTATGCGTTTGGGCAAAATGTTTTAGGACTAATCTTCTCGAATCACTATAATGACAAGCTTATAAAATCTGTACATTTTTCCAATTCACTTAGCTGCAACCCAGTGGAACATGACAGTTACTGTTAAAGCTATCAAAAAGACATTTTTTCTCATCTCATAAGCTTTATTTACAAATTTTATGTTGATTCATCTGTCTGCATGAAATGCATAACATACAAAAGCAAGCCTGTAAACAACTTTTGTTTTAAAACAAATATTTTGCATATAGGCCCTAGAACATATCCTTTGGGAAAAAGGTAAAAAACACTCTGATCCGATAGATTTAAAAATCTGCATGCATTTGCTGCATACTGTACACTGTATAGTGAACTGCACAAGCTACCAGAGTACACTTAGTTTTTATTGTCAGCTTCAGATCAATAAAGCTGTATATTATAGATATGCTTTGTAGTTTTAAACGTGATCCTGAATTAAAGGATTACTTGAAACATCTTCCTCAGCTACTCCAGCTAATGTTCAGTTTTCTTCTTGGTGAAAACAGGACAAACAGTTGGTAGTAGTGTAGACTAAATCTTTGCAAAACAAAAAAATCATTTATCATGCACCTGTTTACCACAATTTTTACAAACATACTTAATAGGCTGCTTTGTTGAGATGAAAAAGTGATTCCCCATCCTCATCCTCTTAATGCCTCAAAAGGCAATTCTTTTATATTTAACAAGAACAGTTGAATTGGATACAGACCAAGAAAACTCAAACCCAAAGTTAGTAATTTTAGAAGTGATCTTTTAATAAAGCACACATTTATGTTCTTATGAACGTTAAGAATTTCCTCAAACTTTTTTCTACGCTGTAAACTTTGCTATCATTACTTTGAAATTAAGTTATTCCTATCTTCTACTTCCACAAAAAGTATTGCATTACTAGATTCCTATTGCTTAGAAATCATTTTATCAAAATTGAGCTTTGCTGGTTCCACTAGGCATCATTGCTACTGCTAATACAATGCTCATATAAGGGAGGGGAAAAAAGAAAACTTACAAGAAAATCCCAAAATGTGTTACAACCACTACACAGCCAGATGGCTGCATTTGTTTAATATGTTGTTTCTCACATTCTTCTGTTTACTTTTCCTGTCACATGAAAGTTGTGCATGTGGCATCAAAGAAAAGCCAAACAGCATTTCAGTAATTCCTTTTTTCTTTCCCCAGCATGCTATCACCTTCAGTTCATACTTTAACCTACCGAGACTCAACCACCTTATACCTGGAGACAGAATTACATACACTTCCTTATTATAGTCTAATTCATTCCCAAATTCATTAACTCTTAGACATGATCTCCAAGTTTACTTCATAGATGTATTAAATCACCAGGTAGAGACATTGCCAGATAAAGCTACATGTGCCAATAAAGAAGGTACAGTTTAACCACTTAAATACAAAGAAAAGCTAAAGCCCCACAAGCTCAGCCCTGCAGTATACTAGAACTCATCTCAGCCCAGCAAGAGAAAAAAAACTCTTAAGTATTGCTGAAAGTTATCAATAAAGTTCAGTTTTCAAAATCAGGTGTTCTGCACCTTGTAAGATTTTAAGTAGACACTGATGTTAAAAAAAAAGCCCACTATGTGGTTTAATAGGCCTTAGAAGTCTGTCCTTCTCTATCATATACATACTGCTTTTCCTACAACAGACCACTAAAGAAAATCCAAACTCAAGCTGATTAATTCAGTACTGTGCTAGAGAAGATGGACCAAAAAAAAAAAAGGACTGAAAGCACAGAAAAAGCCAAGCAAACTGCAGTCCAGATGGCAGGTCTCAAACCCAAGGTGAGGGAGCACAGCTCAGTATATCCACAGGTTAACTTTACACTGTCTGTGCCCTCTCTCCCCCCTGCCAGCCCCTCTGCTCCCTGAGCATTGCCTCCCACTGGCAGCTTTGCCAGCCCAGCTGCCTGCCCAGGCTGGATCTCAGCCCACTTTGACAACTTCTACCCCCCCACACCCCCCCGGAGCCCTTTGGGTATCCCCAGCCCACCAGAGCCATTCAGCCCTCCCCAGGAGCGGCAGCTTGCCCACTGGCCAGCCCTTCTACACAGCCCACAGAGCCTCAGCCGGAGCCGTTAGGGAGGCCCTGCAAGAAACTGCATATATCACCAGCACACACTACTCTGGCTCCTCAAACTCATCCTTCACCAGTACATTCAGGCACCACACCTATGGCCCAAAGCAGCTGCTTTAATTTGTTACAGTCCCTGAAGCAGGATTCTTATCCTGAACCCACCCAAATGCCTATGTGCTTGCTCACATGAGTGCCCAGTCACTGAGTCTCCTACTGTCCCATAACTTCAGCCACCCACATTCATGCTTTTTCACTCCTCATCAGGACCCAAATATCTTAGCCTTGACCCACAGCATATATGCATTCAGTTCACCCTGCTGCTTCCTATGTACGCACTCTTGGTGTACCTCCTCTCAGCAGTAAAGCTCTCCCAACAGCGATCCCTCACCATTTTGCTCCTTATCATCCTATTTTGAAAAAGCAGACTAAATGCCTGCTGGAGATTGCAGTTACACAAACACGAGTGCACAGACTCAGCGTCCCGAGCACTAGTTCAATGCTCTAAAACCCAGCAACCCCCTAAGGGTTAACAAAACCACTCGAGATTGCAAGTCAAAAAGGAATTAACTTTTATCTCCACTCCGTGCACAGGATGCCAGTGCCGCTGTCACTAAACGCAAGAGTTTACAGAGCTCCTAAGACAAAAGAAGGAAGGATGCATTCAAGCTGGACAACAAAGGATTTTCAAACCTCCCCAGAGCTTCCAAAAAGTGAGCCCTGTAACAGCAGCAAGAGGAAAAGAGAGCAACCAGAAGGTATCGAGAAGTCAAAGCCCAGAGAGTCCCTTTGCTTTGACAGACAGCAGCAGCAGGGCTTTAGCAGCTCCGTATTTTTAAGGCTGGGTGTTTTTTCCTCTGCTTTCTGGCAGAGGGGGATCTATTACATTTAATAAGAGAAAGGCTACATAGCAAGTCACTAACAGAGTATTACACATCTATCAAGAGAGTACGAGAAAGGGAACCTTTTGCAAGGTCTGATTTTATTTTTCCTCCATATTCCCCCTCCTCTTTTTTTTTTTTTTTTAAAAAAAAAGGCAATAAATAACATGAACTGCCTATAAGCCTACTACCCAGCAAAAGCCACAGAGGAAAGAGGCAAATCAAAGTTGCAGCATTTGATATGACAGAAAATACTGCTGCTGCAGCTGCAACCGAGACACTTGAAAGATTTCCCCCCACCACCCTTTCTGAAGGGAAACCAAAAAATGCTATATATCACACAGCAAATTTGTTGTAATTGTAAATCAAGGAACTATGAGATTCTACATTCCTAGCAACTGGCTTACAGCAGAGATCTTGCATCTTTCAACAGTAATTCAAGCAACATATAATTACTCAGAAATCAGACCTGAATTACAAATACTTTCAAATCCAAATGCACAAGAGAAGGCAGATGAAAGAAAGCAAGGAAAAAACCACACATTTCTTACCTGGGACAGCAGAAAGGACAGAGTAAGTTGAGTTTTGTGCTGCATTTTGCCAGACTAGAAGGTACCAGAGGCTTTTTCATTCATGCACTCGGCTGCACTGAGCATATTTTCACTGTGAAACAGCCTTTGAGAAGAGACTCTGCCTTGAGAGCCAGCCAACTTCCCAAATAGATCAGCAGCATCATCACTAAAGCATTGGATAGAGTCTGATGACCAGAACCAATGGCTTTACAAGGATGATTTCTTCACAAAGCATCCCCATTTTGCATCACACATATTGGGCAAGCACCTCTCACAAACACAGCACCTTTAGAAAGCATTTTGCTTTGGTGTATTTGTGTGTTTAGTTTCAGTCTAACAAATCATGCCTTACAGATCTCAATAGTATTTTCCCTTTTAGAGAATGGAATTGCACAGAGAGAAATAAGAGCAACTCTGAGCACCGCTGCAAAGAGATTCTCTTTATTAAAATGTTAATAAGGTATGCTTTATTTTCAATAAATCAAAAAAATGACCACTGCAGTTTTAGTTACTTCCAAGCCTTAGAAGAAGAACACAGTGAAATTTTTCAGTGCAGCAGAAATACAGATTATATTTTGTGTTTTCCCCTCAATCTCACAAATCACAACGAAGACAGATCAATTCTAGCCTGCAGAAAAAAATCCATCATAAGGCAATAGATTTTATTAACTGCTCAGGTAATGGCAGAACTGGCTTTTGATTCAATGAATTTGAATCTAGGACAAAGTTTCAAAGGCGCATGCCCTTCAATTACAAAAACTTTTCCTGTTTGGAAGAGGGGATCTGATGTTTCAAGAACCTGCTTTCTCCAGATTGGTTATGTTGCAACCCAGCAAGTAACACCAGGCAGATGGACCAAAGATTAAAAATTAATTTCCCTATCTGCATTTCCAGCTCCACCTCTCTTGCCACTCCCCATTAGCACAACAGTCCAGTCCTTTTTTGACTTGTCTTCTTGCAGTCACCAGGGTTACTTAGCAGTGCCCTTCCCCCATTTTCAGTAGGGTCAAAAGTCTCCTCAGCTCTCATAACTGATACTTTTCCCTTGCTTGCTCAACCAGCAGAGCCAGCTGCCACCACTTTCTGCTCTGCCCCACCACAGGTGACTGCTGCACCAGTGAAGATGAGCAGAAACACGGGGAGCAGAAGGCAGGTAGGCAGATTCGAAGGGATATGTATTCAAAGGAGCTGCCAACCACTTTGAATTCCTCAGCATCAGTAGGAGCTTCCTGCTGTGAATAACGTTGTTTGACAGCTTCCCCAACCACTCTAGTCTCCTGCTCACAGCTCACGTATTCCTTTACTTACACACTGGACCAAAACTGAGGGAAAACACTGTCCTTCCAAGTCTAAGCCCTCACATGGAGCAACAACTCTGCTCCAGTACCTCCATCACACCTGAGTATAAATTAATACTCAAGATGGATCAGAATTCAAACCAAACCCAGCAGGAACTACCAGTAGGAATTACAATGCTTTATATAACTGCAAAAGTTTCATCATTTACACATATATACTTATAAAGAAAGCAGGTAAGTTACTTTCTTTTTCACCCTTTTTCTCCAGGCAGAAAGCCAGTTTAAGCAGGGTAAAAAAGAAAATTTTTAATCCTAAAGAGCTCTAAGACAAGCAAGTGACCATCTCCCATTGCTCCTTCAGGGTCCCAGCTCTCCACCAAGTGCAAGTCCCAGCATCAAGAGAAGCACCTCAGAAGTTTATAAACAAGGCCGGGGGGGGGGGGGGGGGGGGGGTGTTCACAGGGCATAGCCTGCAGGCAACAGCACCACTGTACCACAGTATGCACAGCCTTTGTATGGGAGTACTGGCATTTGGACAGTCTTTTAAACCCCACAAATGAAGGCCAAACAGCTGGGCAAGTTACCAGACCAACCAGAAGTAGGTGGTGGCTGAAAAAAAACAAAGGCATAACAGCATCCTGTTCCACAGGAAAGGGACTCATTGGAAAAAAATAACAAACCAAAAAAACAACCAACAAAAACCCCAAGTTTAAAAAAAAACCAAAAAAACAACAAGTCATGGGGCAGATGATTCACTCCAAGATAATGCTTGCAGTAACATGAGATTTGAGCCAACATGTGCGGTTAGTTTCTGCACAAGACACAGCATGGTTCTGCAGCTACCCCACAAAAGGTGCAGAGAGAAGGAACAAGGAGTTTGGGGTCTTCCCTATGCCACCACAGGCACAAGCAGTAGGGCTGGGCCTCCTGCCATGGTCTCCCTCCTCACCACAGAGGAGCCAGGCACCACAGCAAGGCCCGGAGCAGGGTCTTCCCCCCTCAAGAGACCCAGCCCAGACCTCCAGCCGTTCACAGCCAAAGGGAGCCACCGACCACAGCCCTTTGCCTCCAGAAACAGCAACAACCCTCTAATAATGATGTGAAAAAACAGTTTCAGAAAAAAAAAAATAAAATTCACTAACCTTTTCCCTCCAGTCCCACACAGCCTGTCCTTCTTGCCTTCACCTTCTGCTTTCAGCTGCTCCTATTTGTGCCCTGGAGGGGTAATTAACCACTCCTGGAGCGGTAATTAACAGCTCCCGGGGTTAACCATTTGCAGGTTGCTGCCAAGCCCAGGCCCAGCATGGAGCACCAGTAGGAGGTCAGCTTCGTCCTTCCCCAGCGCTCACCCACGCAGGGTCTAGCTGCCCCTGGGAAAAGGCCTTTTTAGCGTTGCTCAGGTGAAGTAAAATCCAGCACACGGCAGCCGTGGGTGCTGGGGGGGGGTTCACTGGGGCCGTGGGAGGTGGGCAGCTGCTGCAAATCAGCCCCTGAGGCCCAGGACAAGGGCTTGGCCCCTTGCAGGTGGGCTCCCAGCCGGCCTGTATCTTCTGGGGTCAGGAACAGTCTTCTCTGCTAATTAGATTATTAATGAAAAGCTGTTAGGTTATTAATTAGAAATTAAGAGCTGGTTCCTCAGTTCTTCTCAGCCTTAGGTGATAGGAGGAGGTTCAAACTCTGTAAAATATCTTTGAGGAGCAGGCCGGGAGGCAAAGCTCCAGGTGATGGAGGATGGTTGCTCTCTAATCCTCCCCTTGAAGCAGTTTTGCTTCACAAATGAAATGTGGAGTTGTGAGGCTGTGGAGCGACAGCAACAGAATTAACAGCCTCAGGTTTAGAGCATGGTTTGAGGAGAAGCTCCAGGGTTCAGGCCTTCCCTTTTGGAGCAAGCTTAGACACTGCCTGCTGATGGAAGATGTGTAGTAAGTTCGGGTAATGGCCTTGGTTTGTGAGCAAAGAAAGCTCCTGCTGAGACCTTTTCTACATCCAAGCCTACGTTAACTGATGGATGTAACATGCTCTGCAGTCTTTAGATGCAAGATGCCATCATTTTCACTTATAAAATCTTGAGCAACTTGACACCTCAACTGACTCTCTCTCCATGACATACTCTGGCAGTAGAGGCCAATGCTGAGCTGAGGCTACTATGAACAGTATTAATTGTCTGCAACACATAAAGTGATGTCAGAGGCACTCCCATTAGCAGACAAGGGAGTGACTGTATGCTGCCAGAAATGCCTTCTGACCTTCGGAAGATTTGCCCTGACTATTTTGTAAAAGCTGAGGATTAGCTGCTATGAATCTATCAGAACAAGGGAAGTTTAGTTTCACGTTAAAGTGAGTCACGTAAGAAACCTGGATGTGAGAGAGAAGGACTTATTTCCCCTGCCATAGTACTGGCAATCTATATACTACTGGCTGCTACACCACACTGTGGTTTCTGACTCCTTCAAGCCTGGAAAAAGGTTTTAGCACTAGGCAGCAACTGGGGGGGTGTAAGCTTGAGTGGCATGTCTCTAGGACAGAAGGAACAAAAAGGGCACACCCCCAATATGGGAGCATAATACAGTCCAAGACAATTCAAACCTCATCAGATCAGCATCTGCCCTTAAAGGACAGGCATAGTTTAATTTCTTTTAGGGCAGACGGGCCAAGTACATAGTAAAACAGAAATTCAGTCAAGGAAACTAAATCAAAGAGTAAGCTTAGCTGCAGCGTATTTGATATTGTCCTTGTTATTAGGAAAAAACATGCTGGTTAGGGCTTTTTGAAATCCTACTGGGTTCACTCCAAGAATGACCAGAGTACAGGAGAAAGTGATTGTGACCTGCTGTGTCTATCAGGTTTGGCATGTCACCCTCCTGTAATGCCTGCAGAGCCACCACCGCTTCCTGAGGATAAGAAGTTGTAGTAAATGTACCTGTCTAGAGCTGGAATCCATAGCAAAAGTGAAATCCCCTCTTCCTGCCTGAGGTTCTCCAGCAGGAAGAAATGAAGCAACTGGCTGCAGTAATGTTTTATTCTGGAGGATGGAGATTTGGAAGTCTGCAACTGAGTTGATTTAGTGAAGAGTTAAGGAATGTGTTTCCAGGCACTGTGGTTTTCTGCTTGGCAGTTCTGCCAAAATAGGTTCGGGTAGGGATTCTCAGTCTTAGCGCAGCTGAAGTTTCTTTAAGAAAGATTCACAAAAACACCAAAAGAAGAGTTTTGCAGTTTGAAAGGAGCCCACAGCTTTTCATTATGTACCCAACCCAGTACCTCCATAATACCTCAAACTCCTACCAGTATTTCTTACACTAGGGGCTTATTGGCAACAGGAAGTTTGGCATTAGTGCAGCTTTCTCTAAAACCTGTGGGACTGCTGAATGCTTTGTCTACTGTTTCTCTACATCCCAGCCCAAGCTCTAGGATAGTAAATGGGGTTTGTTTTTTTACTCGCTAACAGGCAAGTCACAGGCAACTGGAACAAACTGATACTTCAGTGGAAAGAAATAGGGTGTGTTTCAATTATCAGAAGAGGACTAAAAACCGTGAGTCAAACAGGAATCTTACATGTTAGGAAAACCCCTAAGAGACCATCACACCCTTTTCTCTCCAAATAATAATAATCCCTGTTTATCATGACCACAGGAGCCATTTCTTCAATTCTTAAAGCAAAAAACCCTATTACTTTTTGGCTTTGCATTCCTGAGCCCTTTAAGCATAAACAAAATGTATGTTCCACTTCTAAAATTCAGCTATTATAAAGCGTTCTAGAGTGACA